TCTGAGTTGTCTGCTGGACCACAACTGCAAAAAGGGAAAATTTTGGCATCAAGCTCAGAGCCACAACTTCAAGGTGTGAAAACTGTGGAATTAAACCAAGACTCACAGTTCGGAAGTGTGAAATCTGTGCAGTGGATACCAGGACCTGAGTTCAAAGGTGTAAAAACTATAGGGTTAAATCTTGGTTCACAATCTTGAGTTGTCAAATGTGCAGAGTTGAAATCTTCCATAAAGTCAGGAGGTGTAAAGTCATCTCAGCTGTCTCTAGGGCCAAAACTTCAAAGTGCAATTTCTATGGAGTTTAACCTCGGGTCACAGTTGCACTGTGTGGAAGCTCCTGAGTTGTCTCAAGGACCACAGCTGCAAAAAAGGAAAATTCTAGCAACAACCTCAGAGCCACAACTTCAAGGTGTGAAAGCTGTGGAGTTAAACCAAGACTCACAGCTTGGGAGTGCAAAATCTGTGCAGTGGATACCAGGACCTGAGTTCCAAGATGTGAAAACCGGAGGGCTGAATCTTGGTTCACAATCTCAAGGTGTCAAACCTGCAGAGTTGAAATCCTCCATAGAGTCAGGAGGTGTAAAATTATCTGAATTGACTCTAGGGCCAAAAATTCAAGGTGCAAAACCTGTGGAGTTTAACTATGGGCCACGGTTGCAATTTGTGAAAACTCCCAAGTTGTCCCATGAACCACAGTTGCTGAAAGGGAAAATTCTGGCATCAACCTCAGAGCCACAGCTTCAAGGGGTAAAAACTGTGGTATTAAACAGCTTGGAAGTGTGAAATTTGTGCAATGGATACCGGTACCTGAGTTCCAAGGTATGAAATCTATGCTAAAATGTGATTCACAATCTTGAGATTTCACACCTGTAGAATTGAAACCTTCAATACAATTAAGAGATGTGAAGTCATCTGAGTTGACTCCAAGGCCAAAGCTTCACAGTGTAAAACCCTTGACATCACTCCGGGAACATCAGTTGCCAGGGTTCAAAACTATTGATTTGAAATCTGGGCTACAGTTGAGAAGTGTGAAATCATGTCGCCCAATTTCAACAACAAAGCTCCATGATATAAAATCTATGGCATTCAAACCTGGGCTTCATTTGCAAGATGTGAAATCTTCTGAGTTGACCCCAAGAGCACAGCTGCACAAAGTGAAACCCTTGGAGGCATATCCAAGAACACAGCTGCAAGATGTGAAGTCTCTAGTGTTTACACAAGAGCCACAGTTTTCAGGGGTGAAATCTGGAGTATTAAGCCAAGAGCTACAATTACAGTGATAAAACTGTAGTGCTGAACTTCTTACTACACTTGAAAAGTACGAAATCATCTGAGTTGGCTCATCAGACAAAGCTTCCAGGTATGAAATCTGAGGCGTTTAGCTCTGGGCCACAATGGCAATGTGTCAAATCTTCTAAGTTGACCCTTAAGACGAAGTCTCAAGACATGAAGTTTATAGAGTTAAATCCCAGCTCACAGTTGAAAAATATTCCACATTCTGATTTGACCAAGAAGAACAAGATTCAAAGTGTCAAATCTACAGACTTCAAACCTGGGCCACAGTTGCAAAGAGTGAAGTCTGAGTCAATATCAAAGACAAAGCTTCAAGAAGTGAAATTAGTGGAATCCAACTCAGGCCCACAGTTGCAAGATTTGAAATCTTCTAGGTTGATCATGGGTATAAAGCTTCAAGACATTAAATCTATGAATTTCAGTTCTGGATCTCATTTACAGAGTGCGAAGTCTTCTGAAGTGATTCCAGGGATGAAGCTTCAGGGCGTGAAATCTGTACACTTCAAACCTAGTCCAAAGTTACAAAGTGAGAAATCTGATTTGACCCTGGGGAGGAAGTCTCCAGGTGTGAAATCTGTAGAGCTGGAATCAGGCCCACAGTTACAAGATACAAAATCTTCTGATCTGATCATGGGTATAAAACTTCAAGATGTAAAATCTGTGAAGCTCAGTTCTGGACAACACTTTGAAGGTATAGAGTCTTCTGAGGTAAACTCAGGAACAAAGCTTCAAAGTATAAAATCAATGTATTTCAATTCTGGACAACAGATACAAGGTGAAAAATCTTCTGAGTTGATTCAAGGAACAAATTTATCAAGATGTAAAATCTGTAGAATACAACCATGGTCCAAAGTTACAAGGAGTGGCATCTTCTGAGTTAACAGCAGAGACAAAGCTTCAAGGTGGGGAATCTGTGGAGTTCAACTCAGGCCCACAGTAGGAAGGTATGAAATATTGTAATTCAATCCAGGGAACAGAGCTTCAAAACATAAAATCTAAGGAGTTCAGTTCTGGATCACACTTGCAAGGTATGAAATCTTCTGAAGAGATCCCAGTGACGAAGCTTCAAAAAGTGAAATCTGTGGGGCTCATGCCTAGGCCAATGCAGCAAGATGTAAAATCTTTTGAATTGTCTCTAGATACAAAGGTACAGGATAGCACATCTCTGGGGTTAAACTCAACCTCACAGTTGCAAGATAGAAAATTATCTATGTTGACACCAGGGATACACCATCGAGGTGTGAAATCGATAGAATTCAATCCTGGGGCAAAGCTGCAAGATATGAAATCTGGGTTGATAAAGTTCCAGACAGTGAACTCTACAGAGGGCAACCATGACCCAGAATTGCAGGTTGCAGAACTCTCTAAGTTGGCCCTGGAATCAAAGATTCACAGTGTGGCACCTTCTGAGTTCAATACCAAAAAGCAGCAGCAAGATGAGAAATCTAATAAATTGAATCCATGGCCAGACCTTCAAAGTGTCAAATTTATGGTGTTCAATCCTGGGCCACATTTGCAACATAGAAAATCTTCAGAATTATGTACAGGGACAAAGCTTCAAGATGTAAAATCTATGAAATTCAACCTTCAATAACAGTTGCAAGGCGTGAAATCTGAGTTGCACTTTGGAACAGGGCTTCAAGGTATACAATCTTTAGATTTTGAGCCTAGGCCACAGGTGCAAGGAATAAAATCTGCCAAGTTGAATCCTGGGACTGAGCTTCAAGGTATGAAATTTAAGGTGTTCTGTCTTGGACCACATTTGCAAGATGTGAATTCTTCTGCATCCATTCCAGAGCCACCGCCTCAGTGTGTAAATTCTATTGGGTGCAACCGTGGGCCATCTTTGCGAGGTGTAAATGCTTCTGCATCTATTCCAGGCCTTCAGTGTGTATGTTCTAATGGGTTCAACTCTGGGCCAAACTTGCAAGATATGAATTCTTCTGCATCCATTCCAGAGCCAATACTTCAGCGTGTAAATTCTATTGAGTGCAAACCTGGGTCACATTTACAAGGTGTAAATTCTGCAACCATTCCAGCACCTAAACTTCAGTGTGTAAGTCCTAATGGGTCCATCCTTGGGCCAAACCTGTGAGGTGTGAATTCTTCTGCATCTAGTCCAGAGCCACCACTTCAGTGTGTGAATTCTATTTAGTATAATTGTAGGCCACATTCACAAAGTGTGAGTTCTTCTGCATCCGTTCTATGGCCCAAACTTCAGTGTGTTAATCTTAATGGGTGCAACCCTGGGTCAAATTTGCAAGGTGTGAATTCTTCTGCATCCATTCCAGAGCCACCACTTCCATGTGTGAATTTTATTGGGTACAATCCAGGGCTGCATTTTCAAGGTATAAATTCCTCTGCACCCATTTCAGGGCCAAAACTTCAGTGTGCAAATTCTACTTGGTGCAGCCCAGGTCCACAATTGCAAAGTGTGAATTCTGCATTTATTCCACAGCCCCAAGCTCAATGTGTAAATTCTATTGGGTACAACCCAGAGCCATATTTACAAGGTATGAAATCTCCTGAATTAACTCCAGTTTCAAAACTTCAAGGTATGAAGTGTTCTGAATTGAACCCAGGGACAGAAATTCAAAGTGAGGCATCTATGATGTTCAACCCTAGATGACATTTGCAAGATTTAAAATCTTATTTGACTCCAGGGTCAAAGTTTATATGTGTAGAACCTGTGGAATGCAACCCTGGGTCACAGGTGCAGCATGTGAATTCTTCTGAGTTGAATCCAGGGCTAAAGTTACAATGTGTAAACTCTATGGAGTGCAAACTTGAGACACACTTGCAAGGTGTAAAATCAGGGACAAAATTTCAAGTTATGAAATCTGAGTTGCATCCAGGGCCAGAGCTTCAAAGTATAAAATCTGTTGTGTTCAACTCTCTGCAACATTTACAAGATGTAAAATGTGAACTGACTTCAGGGACAAAATTTCAAGATGTAACACCAAAGGAGCTCAACTCTGGCCCACAGCTGCAAAGTATGAATTCTTCTGAGTTGAATTCAGAGCCAAAATTTCAATGCATAAATTCTATCAACTTGAATCCAGGGCCACAGAAACAAAACATGAAGCCCTCTAAATTGAACCCTGGGTCAGAATCTCAAGGTACAACATCTATTCTGTTCCATCCTGGACCATGCTTGCAAGGTGTGAAATCTTCTGAATTAACTCCAGGGACTAAGTTTCAAGGAGTCCAATTTTGGGGGAAGCATCTCGGCTCACAGCAAGCTGTGCAACCTACATTCACTTTGGGTCCTTAGATAAATGGTATGAAATCTGAGGTATTTTTACCAGAGACACTGCTTAAAGATGTCAAGTCTGTGGAGATAAATAAGCAGCCATTGCTTTATGATGCAAATTCTGTGAAAATAATTTCAGCCTCTGAGCTAACGGACTTAAAATATGAGGTATTTACACTAGAGCCATGTTTTCAAAAAGCAAAATCAGTGGAGTTAAAACCAGAGTCATATCCTCAAGGTATGAATTCTGAGGAGTTGCATTCACACCTCAGGCAGCATAGTGTGAGATCTAAGCTATTTGTATCAGAGCCACGTTCTCAAGAGGTGAAATCTGTGAAGTCAACTCTATGGCCACAACCTCAAAGTGTAAATTCTTCGACATCGTGCTTTAGGTCACAATGCTTTAAATCTGTGGCCTTTGCACCAAAGCCATGCTTTCAATATAAAAAAAACTATGGAGCTGACACCAGGGGCCCAACAGCAAGGTATAAATTATCAAGAGTTGACTTCAGGATGGCAAGATGTGAAATCAATGGTGTTGGCACCAGAGCCAACTAGGAAGTTCTCATCAGGACCAATGTTGACCAGTGTCAGATTTTCAAATTTATCTCCAGAATCACAGCAACAAGGTGTGAAATCTTTGAAGTTTACTCTAGAGCCAAAGTTGCAAAGTGTAAAACATCTGAAATTGTCTTCAGTGTCTCTGCAGCAAACTATAAAATCTTTGGAATTAGCACAAGGGCTACTGCTTCAAACAGTGAAATACGTGGAGCAAACTCCAAGAACAAATTCCCAAATCATGGCATCCTCTGAAATAATCCCCAGGCCAGGGCATCAGTTTACAAAATGTGCAGAGATGATCCCACAGCCAAAGTATCAAGTCCCTAAATCTGCAAATTTGATTTCAATACCAATTTATCTTGCCACAGAATTTTCAGAAATGGCACAAGGACTGGCAAATAAAGGCATAGATCCTATAGAGAAATCTGTGGGGTCGACCCCAAAGCTAACAGGCAGAGCCATGGAATCTTTAGGGATTCTGCTGCAGCCAGATCTTCAAGTACCAAAATTGGTTGATCTGACTCCAATGCTAAGGTATCAAGGCTCAAAATTCTTAGGATTAACTCCAGAGAACAGCCACCAAATCCTAGAAACTATGGACATGCTGTCTCAGCCATGGCCCCAAGTTAAGGATTTGGGGGAGTTATATATAAAGCCACGGCAGCAAATTGTGGAACCTGAAAGGATTACCCCAGAACTCAAGCATTACTTTACAGAAGCTGTGGGGTTGACCACTGAGGCAAGGATACAAGCAAATGAATTCTTTGGAATGACCCCAAAGCCACCAAGTCAAGCCACTGGATTTGCAGAGAGATCCCCAAGGCTCTGCCCTCAAGACTTAGAACCCGTGGAGGCAATCTCTCAGAAAAGGTTGCAAAGGGAAGAATCTGTGGTATTGATTCCAAAGTCATTACATCACATCCCAGATTCTGCTTCAGGGATGACACCTGGATTAGGACATCAGGTTTCTGAATCTGTGGAGTTGACTTCTGAGTTAGGGATGCAGGTGGAGAAAACTTTGGAATTAACTCCAGAACCACATCATCACCTGGGATCTCCAGAGATAATATTAGGGTTAAGACATCAAGTCTCGGAATCTGTAAAGCTGAACTATAAGCAATGGCTGCAAATGGAGGAATCTTTAGAGGTACCCCTGAAGGAAACAAGTCAAGTTATAGGACATGAAGAATCTGCAGAGCTCACATCTGAGGCATGGCAGCACAGGGAGGTATCAATGGGGCTAACAAAATCAAAGAATCAAAGTATGAAATCTCCAGGGACAACCACAGGACCACTGGATCAAAATGTAGAATTTATGATTAGTCCAGAGCCACTAGATCAAGTCACAGAATCTGCAAGGACACAGCTTCAAGTTGCTCAGTCTCAAGAGGTAACCTTTGTAGATGTCCCAAAAGTTGTTCAATCTGAGAAGGTGACCCCTGGACCACCATTTCAAGTTGTAAAGTCTATGACAGTGCCAAGGCCAGCCCATCAAGTGGTGGAATATATTGAGTTGACTCCAAAACTGCAAGATGTGAGACTTTCAGAGCTCCCCTCATGGCCATGGTTACAAGATGTGAAAGCTAAGAAATTAATCACAAAGCCAAAACACCAGATAGTGGAAACAATGGAGTTGACAGGGTTTCAAATTGTAAAAACTATGTTAATCCCAGGGCCACCCCATCAAATTGTAAAATCTGAGCAATTAGCACCAGGACCAATTCCTCAGGTTGTATAACCAAAAGGAGTACCCTAGAATGAGGAATTGAAGCAATAAATTCTGTGAATTTACTTCAAGGCCATATCTTCAAGAACTCATAGTACCTGTAGAGTCAACTCTAAGGCCACATATTCAAGCGCAATCTGAAGAATTAACCTCACAGCAAACATCTCCATTTGAGGAACATACAATATTGACTCATAAACAAGGACTTCAGGCTGTGAAATCTACATTGATAAAAACAGAGCCTCCTAAGTTATGGAATCTGAGGATTTGAATCTAGGACAGGTGTGTCAGAATAGGGACTGTGGCCGGGCACGGTGGCGCGTGCCTGTAGTCCCAGCTACTCAGGAGGCTGAGGTGGGAAGATCGCTTGAGCCCAGGAGTTCTGGGCTGCAGTGCACTATGCAGATCGGGTGTCCGCACTAAGTTCGGCATCAATATGGTGACCTCCCAGGAGCGGGGGACCACCAGGTTGCCTAAGGAGGGGTGAACCGGCCCAGGTCGGAAATGGAGCAGGTCAAAACTCCCGTGCTGATCAGTAGTGGGATCGCGCCTGTGAATAGCCACTGCACTCCAGCCTGGGCAACATAGCGAGACCCTGTCTCTAAAAAAAAAAAAATAGGGACTGTGAGAAGTTAACATCAGAAGAGTTACAAGTGAGGTCTGACTTCTCTAGGTTCCTATAAAGCTCTTCAACCTCACTTATTTCAGTCTCTGCCAAAACAGCATCTGAATTGGGAGGACTCTGGGATTCTGGGATACAGAAAGTATCCTGAGCTTTGGATGTAAAAAACCTTGGGACAGATATTTTACAGCCCAAAGAGACCTATCTAGACCCTACTATGATGCAGTCTTTAACTCCTCCCTTGGCCCTTCATAATCAAAGCTCTGGTAAGACAGCTAACATTGTGGAAAACACATGTCCTGAGATTCCCGGAGTGGATATCATATCTAAACAGAAAACTAAGAGGAAGCAAATGGAGGAGCTAGAGAACTCACTTCAGAGACATCTGTCACAAAACTGGGGATCACATTCCAGTCAGAATCAGGGGTTCAGAAATCCCTCATCAAGTATTTCCTGGGCAGACAATTCAACGTCTGGGAGACTCATGCCTGGAGGCAGCGACTACCAAGAAAATTTCTCTCTATGCTATTGCTGGGGAATGTTTTAGGGACCACTATGGAAAGGAAGCTTTGTTCTCAAACATCTCTAGCAGAAAAAGCCACTGCAGATACCTGTCAGTCTAGTCAGAATTTATTTGGGATTCCAGCTGAACTGATGGAAGCTTCCCAGAGGCTGCCAGAGAAGGGTCCAGTTACTATATCTCAGCCTTCAGGTCAAAAATCATATTCAGAAACATACTTTAGATCATGTACATAAGAAAAGAATGGCCTTAAGGATGTGGACAAGTGGTTCCACATCTTCCATAATACAGCAATACTGTGGGACGAGAGTGGAAATAAAGAAAACAAACTCAGGGTTCAGTGGTATATCCCAAGAAGTCATTCAGCATATGCCTGTCACATGTGCAGGGGGCCAGCTTCCTGTCCTGGTAAAGTCAGAGTCTTCCATCAGCATATTTTCCAACACAGAAGATCTTGTTCCAATGGAAGAAAGTGAGAACTCACAGAGCGATTCCCAAACAAGGATTTTGGAGTCTGAACACTCCCTCAAGCCAAATTATCTTCCCCAGAGTGACTTCTCAGAACAGCTCCAGTTGCTACAAGATTTGCAGCTAAAAATAGCAACAAAACTCTTAAGGAGTCAAATACCCCCCAATGTGCCTCCACCTCTAGCTTCAGGTCTAGTCCTAAAGTACCCTATCCGCCTACAGTGTGGCCGATGTTCAGGATTTAACTGCCATCATAAATTACAGACCACTTTGGGGCATTATCTTCTGATCTATCCACAGCTCCACCTTGTAAGCACCCCTGAAGGCCATGGTGAGATTTGGTTGCATCTTGGCTTTAGATTATGAACCAGGAAAAGACCCCAAATCTCAAAGTGTCATGAAAGAGATAGACCCATCATATGGAGAAGACCTGTGTCACCATCACAAAGGAAAGCTAAAATCATACTCAAGCTTCCGAGAGTCCTACTTCCACGATAGATTTGCAGTCTGGGTCCTCCCAGTCCCCTGCTCCTGTACAAGTCTACATCAGGCGAAGACAACACAGCAGCCCTAATCTGGAAGAAAAGACAATAATTAGAGCACCTGGACACTATGAATCCATTCTGGTTCACACCCTATCAGAGAGTGATTCTGAAAGCACTCAGAATGAGAAATGCACTACAGTGAGAACCAAAAATACCTCCGATTCAAAATATCCAATGAAGAGAATGACCTAGGGACTTGGTGATATCACACGGAGGCTCACGCCTATAATCCAGCACTTTGGAAGGCCTACAGCAAATCACCTAAGGTCAGGAGTTCAAGACCAGCCTTACCAACATGGTGAAACTCATTTCCACTAAAAATACAAAAATTAGCAGGGCATGGGGGCGGGCACCTGTAATCCTAGCTGCTGGGAAGGCTGTGGCAGAAGAATTGCTTGAGGCTGGGAGGTGGAGGTTGCAGTGAG